TTGTTATTACCGTCTTGGTTTCGAATGCCACCGAAGCCTCGGCGTTTTTCGCGCGTGGGTCAAATTAATTAATGAAAGGTCCATTTCTTATAGGAACTTTAGGAGACAGTGAGTCTTTTTGAAATTTTGTTTTTGAAGAAAACTAATGTTAGGGCAGAAGGTCCGTTCATTTCAAGATTGTGCTTGACTGCACCTGTCCCAACTGTTTGTGACGAGTGTTTCAGATCCATAATAGTTGTTGGGGATGCATTCTCATCATATTTTCGGTACTTGTTTAACATCCTCTAGAACGATTGGTCGCAAAATGACTTCATCCCAGCCTCTTCTAACTGAACTTTCTTCCCGAGACATAGAGGAAGGATATGTTAATGCAAATCGAACTTGGTAGTTTTTGCGGCTTTTCCTAAATTTACCGGTGTACTAGTTGACGGCTGATGCATACACGCCAATTGTTTCGCTCAGTGTTGCGAAATGCTTATTTCGACGCCAATCTAAAGGACAGTATATTAATGAACACACACACACACTCCCCCCAACGCTTTGGCATGTGGCCGTTGACAGCCCTACTAGAAAGTCATTGACCACATCCCACCCGTATGGGCTAACTAGTAAGTCCCTAAAAACGCGAATGCGAAACATTATTTGTGGAATCCAGCGGTTTACTATTAGCATCGCCAATAAGCTGAGGTACTATTTCCGAAGTGAAAATTGCAAGAGCTTTCTCCTTTGCGTGCCTTTTTCGCTACGTTTATCTGGACTGATTTTCCACACTTTCTTGTTACATTCAGGTAACATTTGCAAATTGTTTGATATCACACCATCCATATAAGCACACATTTCCTTCAACTAAACTAAACTGAACTATGCTGTCCGCAGTTAAATTCACAGTTTTAAAATACATTAAAACAGATATATATATTATGTAAGTATATTTTCCCAGCTTGCTGCATAATTGTCATAATTTGTTACTGAATTTAATTTTTTTCTCGACCATACTTGATTCATTAAACTTACTCATGGCCGCCGTTCTTGTTTCTTTCCTCAGCTCCTTTCACGATCACCTTGATGGTGCTTTGCTCCGTAATTAGCTCAACCTGTACCTACTCCTGGGACGTCATCATGGACTGGGGTCTGTTGGACTGCAAGGCCAAGGACAACCCCGGTCTGAGAGACGAACTGGTTTACCGGTTTCGCGCCTACTACTATTGTGCTGTCCTGGAGGATCTCATTATCCGCTTCTCCTGGGCTGTGAATCTCAGTTTCAAGTACGCCTACGTCGTCGAAATTGAGATCGTGAAGACTGTGGTTCTTTTCGCGGAAGTTTCAAGGTATACCTTCTCTCTTCTGTTCTACTCTTTTCTTTAGACAGTTTTGTTTTAAATGAGTGGCAACTGCATTTGTGTGTATAAATTGTATTATTATTAGTAGTAGTAGTAATGATAGGCTTATTGATAAACATTCTGGCAGAAACTGCAGTACTATAAGTGAGTATAATACTGTTGTTGGTTGTAACAACAGCATTTAAACATCATCCTAGGTTTAGGACACCTGAGATTCGAACCAGGGGTTTTCGGTTATTAAGTCCAACGCTCTACCTATTGAGCCACGGGTTCGTAATGTCTTGTGCGACCAGGAATAGTAACTATCAGGATTAGGCCAGCAGGTCCTGTATCTTGATCAATGAGTACCCTTCCAACATGATGTTGGTGGTATCGGTACATGTAGCAGTGTCGATTGCAGGAGCAACAGTAGTCGCAGCATCTGCAATAATGCCAGTAGCATTGCTAGTCTTGGTGACAGTTTTAGCAGTAGTGGCATTATCTACAGTAGTGCTATTGTTCTCATGTTTATTAGTAGTAGCAATGGGAGTCGTGATTGTGGCGGTATGGAAGAGAGGAATCTTGATGCTTATAATTTTGTGTAGAAGAGTAATGGAAGCAATAATACTAGAAGTATTCACATTGGTATTAGCAGTATTACTGGTAGCAACAATGGTAGCAGAAAAAGTAGTATTAATAATGCTGCTGCCGTTGCGTGGGGAGTGGGTTCTAGTACTTGTATTTGAAAAACGGTGGAACCAATAAAGACGAGGGAGACGGGAATGGCCATTTTCTGGCTTAATAACCATCATAATCCAGGCATACCCCATTGCGGGTGTGGGTCACCCAAGATTCGAACCCGTGACTTTTCGGTCATAGAGCTACGGGCCCGTTGTTTTTATTGGTTGCCATCGGAAATATGATGATAGTCTGGTGTTCGCCGAGCTGGTAA